GGTTTGCTTAAGATGTTTTGGAGGGCTTTAGTTGGTTTGTGTGCTACAGTGATGCCATGTGTTTGTAATAGTCTGTTGGTTGTTTCTGAGATGTTTTTGATGTATGGCAGTGTTATCCTTTTTGTAGCTTGTATTGGTTGTGTTGTAGCGGATTGAGTGGTCAGGGACTTTTTGATGAAGTTGCACGGGTATCCATTTTGTTGGAAGATGTTGTATAGGCAGTCTGTTTCTTTTTTCTGGTGTTCTGGGTTGCTGCAGTGTGTTTGTACTCTGAATAATGTTCTTACACAGCTCCTCTTGTGGGAGGTTAGGTTGTTACTCTGGTAATGGAGCACTTGGTTAGTGTGGGTTGTTTTTCGATAGACTTGCGTTTCTAATTTGCCAGGATTAACACCAAACAATCAAGCAGAAAACAATACCCTAATCAAGGAACTACCAAGGAGAAAACCACACCCCCACCTACACTGGCAGGGCAAGCTACTGCACATAGACAGGGAGCAAACCCCACACTCACTAGCACCGATGATGTTACCTAGTCAGGTAATGAAACATCTACAAGCAAACGACCAAGCTCAGAGAGCACCAAGGACTCCACAGTTCAACCCTGAGCTATAGAAATTCTGTTCTGTTGGAATGTAGGAACTTCAGATGTATGCTTCTATATAGCAGGTACATTCAGAAGTATCCACACATATAGCCACACCCTAGTCTCTTTTCTATGCGGACAAACCATAAAGATACAAGTTAGGAATCTTTGATTTCTGAGCCGAAGTTTCAACAAGAGGTGCAAATTGTCTGCTATCTTGGGATGTTGTCTTGGTGGTGATGTTCCTACCTCTCCGTAGCCTAGAATGTAACTGTTTACAGTAGCAGCTGTGCAAAATTAATGTGACGTTGGGTATATTTCCCCCATCCCTTTTTCCTGCTTAATTGTATACTTCTTTTATATACAGATATGTACTTATCAGCCCAAAAATAATCGCACTGGTCTCCCCCATATGGACTGTGACATTAAAGGAAGGCCATGCTGTATTGGAACCAAAGGCAGGTAAATGCTTGTGATTATGAGATGTCAGGGGAAAACCTCGTCGAGCACGAGAGACATACACACCAAAACACTGATCACTTCAAGATTCCAAAGGTTTTATTAAATTTTAGCCCAATAACCAAGGACATAACATACTTACATAAATTCCCATTGCAATGAGGACCAGCACGGACAAGCGGTCGAATGGACAGCTTGAGGCCGAGTGGCCCTGACCCCCTCTCAGCAATCCCTTTTATTCCTTAAAACCGCAAACCACAAACATGACTCCCAGGATTTGCAACCGTTTTTCGTACTAATTTTACAACACTTCCCTGTTCTTTTCTCTTGCCACATTCCTTCCATCAGCATTTTACTTGTCCCATCTGTTTTCCGACTTCCTGTTCAATATAACTGCTAATAAGCAAAAACTTCAGTTCACATAGTAATTTTACTTATTGCTCTGTAAGCCAATTTTATTATAGCATTAACATTTATTGCTCTAAAGGTTAGTTTCATTAATATATTTCAATTAGTCAAAAAAGCCTTAAGGATCATTAGTCATATTCTCCTCACAGGGAGCATCCCAGAGATGTTTTTAGCAACTGTGAAAATGTTTCTGTTCCATTTTGGGATACATTTTAAAGCCTGCCCATATAGAAAAGTTTAGATCTTATAAATTCTCTAAGCAGTGCTATTGAGATAAAGTATTCTTGATTAGCATGCGGATTTAAAGCCAAGAAACACAGCTTAGTATTTTTCAAGTTTTGTTATTCAGAACTGCTGTTTAATGCAGCCTTTGAGCCTGTTACTATTGTTTTAAACTATATTGTTCATTAGAAACATCACTGAAATCATTGAGACAATCATCAAGCTACTTTAAGCTCCATTAATTTCAATGACACTTTGTTGTATCTAACTCAATCTGTATGCTACCCATGAATTCTAAAAACAATAGAAATGCAGAAAATAAATATGTAAGTAAATTTATTAAAATCTGGTATATTCTAATAAAGCGCTGCTCATTAAACAAATGTGATTATGTCATTTTATTAAAATCTCACAAAAGGCTCCTTATGTAGCAGCTCTTCAACTAACAGTTCACTCTGTGTGATCTTAATGCATCTGATTAAGAGAGTTTATGCCCTAATAAATTTGTTAGTCTTTAAAGTGCTTAGATCACTCTGACAAATTCTGGAGCAGAATTCATCTGCAGGCAGTTAAGAAGCTATCTGAGAATTCAGTCAGATTCATTGAACTTGGAATAAAGTCATGTCGTATGAAGTATAATTTAGGCTTAATGAACATAAGGCAAGGACAAACAATGGAGTTTCCTATATTTGGCCAAGATGTTTGAAGTGGGTTATGGGTTTTGTTTTTGTTGGCTTATTTTCAGTGTCCAGTACTTAGCAGAAATGTACTTGAGAGATGTCACTGCTATGTTATGTGAAGTTCTGTGAATATGATGATGGGACCGTCTTTCTTAGATAGGTGGAGGAATCTTCAGTCCTTCAGATGTTGCACTCACATGCCATCAGGCTTTAACAACATGGACAATAGCTATTTTGTGATCATCAATACAAATCTTGATTGTGCAAGGCAAGAGCTTAATGGAGAATTGAAATTTAGTTAGACGAATTATTATTAAGCAGTGAAGTGCAAAATGATTTGAAATTGAATTGTTCCTGGCTCAAGCATGAAACTAAATGCTTTGACCACCTTGGAAGCCTTTCAAGTTCAAAACAACCTTTTGTGTGCTTTCAAGCTAAAAGGATTTCCAAAATGTTTAAAACTGCTGTTTTGAATTTGAATGAGTGTTTTGAATTCAAAACATTTTGCACATTGCTATTTTTAAATGTGTCTTCCTGCTTATATAAGCAACCAAAGTGGCTTACAAGAATGAAATTAAATACAACTATAAAATGCAATAGTAAAGTCAGTGCAATTAAAATCAATAAAATCAAGATGAAGGAAGGGATGATGAATTAGACTGACTCTATCACTTTCTTTATATTAGCTGTGAGATCACAACTCGGGAGTACTGTGAATTCATGCATGGCTACTTCCATGAAGAAGCAACTCTTTGTTCACAGGCAAGTAATATCCTGAGGCAGCTTTCCTTACTTTGATACCTTCAAGATGAGTTGAAATTCAGGTCCCAGCAACTGGGTCATTCAGTGGGAGCCAGATTTGAGAAAAGCTATCCCAAGATGTGTTGGTGTCAAATGTTTGCCCTATACTTATAGATTAAGACTAGGAGAATATTAGTTCATTTTGGGGGAAAGGGCTAAAGGGCTTCAGAGTAGGGACAGCATCAGAAGTTGGCATTTAGGCAGTTGCCAGGCCCCACTGTCTCAGCAAGGTTCACAGATGCTGCCTTGGCTTCCTGTTAATAAAATATCCATAAGTCAACATAAGCCAAGTGTGCAAGTAGTTCAGTGCAGGTTTTGAAAAATGCCTTGGGACCACACTGCTAGAAAGCATTTGGTGAATTGAAAAGAGGGCTAGGGTACTCACCAATAACCGTCAGGAATCCTTAAGTCTTACTGGATCAAGAAGCGAGATCAGTTGTTTTTCCTTTTTTTCAGTATCTGCTTATCTACACCACATTCCTCTAGAACCTAGTGTGGTCATCATATACAGCTTTTGCCATTTCCTGCCATGATCGCTGGGGATTCTGGAAGCTGTAGTCCATGACTGGGCAGCAGCAGATTGGAGAAGAGCTTATCTACATACTTTAAAGCCTTTTTTTTTTCCCTGTTCCCAGGTTCATTGCATGGGGGAGGTGTGTGGCCTTTTACCATTTCTCAACCCAGAGATTCCAGATCAGTTCTACAGGCTCTGGTTGTCCTTATTCCTTCATGCAGGGTAAGAAGAAGAAAAAGATGTGAGGGGCAATGCCTTGACATTGTCTTTTGTGTTTTTCATTGCCCTATGGCTATCCCATGCTTCCTCCAAGGAACTCAGAACAGTCAGTGTGGTTGTTCCCACCTTTATGCTTCTGTAGCTGCAACAACTATGTGAGATTAGTTAGCAAGCACCCAGAGGTGGCAGCTGGCCAAAGGAAACCTTGTGAGTGGAGATGGATTTTATTCCTGGTCTGACACTCTAATCACAATTTTCAGCCTTCCTTCCACAATCCTGTTCTCTCTGAATAGGTAGGACTTCAATTCCTGCAATTTCTAGCTAGCATTGTACAATATTGCCTCCCTGTTAGTATTTTCAGCCCTGTCTCTTAATCTTTTGGGGTCCATAAACACTGTCTCTGGATTTCCTGTACTTTTGCACTGGGAATCTCAGCATCTCATCTCTTGTTGTTTGTTCAGTTTTCCTTCTGCCTGTTGCCTGCTTGTCTGATTTTCTGACTGGGGTGGGGGGTTCTGTTGGTCAGACCCCAAAAGCTAGAATGAAGCCTAACTGATACAGGCCTGGTCTTTGCTGGGATGCCCAGGGCTTTGTCCTGCAAGCACTCTTAAGTTACTTCCAGAAAGAAGTTCTTCAGCATCAGCAGTCAAAAGACACTTTGCAACTATTCTGCACTTTAATACATTGGGGGGGGGGGGGAGGATTAATGGAAAGAGGAAAAGATAGAGGAAGCAATAGAAATGGGATAGTCCCAGCCAGGAGATGACACCCAGCCGCCATCTAAAATATCATTAATGAAGTAGAGTGATTATACAATTAAACATTTTTTTAAATAAAATACCTTAGAATTTAGCCCTTGATCCTCTCTGATAATTGGCTTGAGCAAATGTAGTCCTTGAAACATGTCTTGATTGTTTCTTCTGAATGAATTAAATGGAGCTCATGGTCCTTCCGCACACCAATTGATTCTCATTTCTCAATTTTTCCTCCCATTTCAGCTGTACGAATGATGGGAATGGTTGTGCAGGTTCATGTTGTGCTGTTCCTATTAAGTAGTGGGAGTCAAAAATTCATCCCAAAGTGCTTCAGATCAAACAAGTATCTGAAGAGACCACAATCTATCTTCTAGCTGCTTCTGTTTTAATTGATTTCAGGATCCCTTTTACCAATCCAGGCTATTTATCAAATTTGCAAATGTTTAACACAACAGTTGTAACCTGTAAAATTGTCCAGGCTGGTATTGTGTGCAGAAGTGAAGGAGACAGACTATTTTTTGAGGTAGTGAGGAACTTAGATCTGATTTAGTTGTCTATCTCCCATAGGATTATCCACTGTATGGTGTCTGTGATCTTCCAGATGACAGTGCTCAGAGATTTGGAAAAGCTGGCAGGCTGGCTTCGTATCACTATCATTTTCATCCTCAGTGGCATCACAGGCAATCTGGCTAGTGCCATCTTCCTACCTTACAGGGCAGAGGTAAGGGCATTGCTTGGCTTTTCTGTTGAAGGAGAGTCTTCTTACAGTTGTATGAATTAGCTTAAATTCAATGCTCTTCAGGTGTGTTTGAAGCTGATCGTGTTCTGCAGCCCCAACATTTGAAAATGCTGCTAAATCTTCAAAAACAGTGGCAAAAGGAGAGCTTGATCACTGTCAATAACCAACAAGAATGCTTTACATCCAGTACTAAATTCTTATAGCAAAGGAATATAGAAATACAATTAGTAGTGAAGAACATATTGGCATGACCCAAGGTGTTGTCTCCTGGGTAGCTGGCAGCATGTAGCTGACCTAGGCTGATCTCAAATAGCTAAACCAGATCAGTCCAGGCTACTACAAGTATGGGAGACCAGAAAATGTGAAGGCTGTAAGCTAGATTGGGAATGCAGACCACTTCGGCATCTGCCAGTAAAACTGCATATATGTGCCATGATGTCACTTGGAGTTGATCTCCTTTTGCCACTGTGATGTCAATACAAGATTTTCAGATTCTGAAATATTTGAGGTTGAAAAGGAGAGTCCTGTTTTGTTTACACCCCACTGATATAAAGACTAGGAGCAACATTCACTCTACTTGGGCAAAAGGCAGCATATGAACAATAAGAAGGAAGGGCTTTTAAAATCTTCCTGCACTGCTGAGTTTTTTTCTTCTTCTCATACTTATCCCCTTCTTTCTCTGTTTCCATGCTGGCTTTGTTCAGACAATCATATGTTACCCTAATCTGAGATATGAACAAGTGTTCAGGTTTGGTATGCAGTCACTTCACGTAAGCTAACAAACAAATCAGCAAACTTCAGTTAGCTATAGCTTTCCCTTACTTCCAAAGTGTGATATAATGGTTAAAGACTTTTGATCACATCTGAAAGTGAAGTCATGGTTTTGAAGTGAGTGTCACATACCGAAATCATTAATAATAGTTTTCCTGTTTGGACATAAAGGGAAAGTATTCTTAACCCAAAACTTCCTGTCTTGTTAGCATGCAGAAAGGAGTGGATGAGCTTTGGCAGGGCCATAACTGTTGCTGGCATCTCAGTTTAGTAAACAGAGATAAATGACTGCTTGAATATGAGATTTCTTTAATATTTCTTGCCATCTAGCACCCGCAGTGCCAAAGAAACTGGTTACCTATTGGAATCATTGAGAAGCTTGTGGTGGTCCTCACTTCCGGGAGGTCAGGGGGCCAAAGCCCGGAAGTGTTGTCTTTCAGCCATGGGGCCAGCCCTCTGGAATGTTCTCCTGTTGGAGATTTATCTGCCTCCAACGTTTTCTGTCTTCCAGAAAAAAGCTGAACCAGAGCTTATCCAGAGGACTTTTGAGGCCTAATGCCATACACTGTGTTTGGGCTTTATTTCTCTTATACTTGTGTTTTTATATTTTATTGTACTTTCTGACTTTGTGAGCCACTAAGAATCCTGTGGTTGTGGCAGGATACAAATACGCTTAATAAATAAACTGTAAAGTATGTTGTGTTGTTGGAAGACTGGATCTGATTGTGTTATTGAGTAGGGTGTGTGTCTTTGTTTCCAGCTTTCAGGTTGTCATGACTTCAGGAATGAGAGGACTTGTCTACCATATAGGTTGGTGTTCTTCACAAAACTGGCCCAAATCTAGCTTATTAAAGATGGATTATTCTAAAATCTAATGTTTATTTGAATACTGCTTCTTAAAATTGCAAATCCACTTGTAAAACTAGTGGTGCCTACTTGATTTGACCTTGCAGCTGATGGTGCATCCTCCCACCCCCACTCCCCAATTCTTTTCCTTTAGCTTCATGTATGTTTGCCTTTTGTCATAATCTAACATAGGATTTAGTAACTCCAACGCTAAATGTTGTTGCTTCATAGTACTAGCATGAAAAATCTAGGGCAACAGTTCCCCTGGTGGTCAGAAATCATGGAATAGGAATGCTACCTGTGAATCACATACATAGCAAGTTCTAATAGGTTCAGAAAGTTAATTTGACACATGAAGTCTAAGATAATATTATTTCAGTCTTCAAGAAGGCCCAAATGTTTGAGTTCTCCTTGATGCAAATCTGCATATGGAAAGCTAGCATACCAAGGAGAACGGTATAATCTGCTAGTTTTCTGTGGGCAGGGATCTGTTTGCACTTAAAACTTGAGGATCATTCAGATGTGATCCCCAGTTGCAGTTCTGGGGGAGCAGTATCATTTGTCAGTGACACTGTATTTTAATAAGCCTCCAGAACCCAAATTGCCCTATTGATACTTTTGATGCTTTTGCCTTTCTTTTCTGTCAGTTGGAATCCCTTTGGTTTTCTGTTCTAAAAATATCTGGACCTCTTTGAAAGCGTTATGGAGAAATAAATGGATTAAGGGAGGTTTCCAAAAGGAGCACTGAGCAGTTTTTGGCCCACCAGTTCTATGCGAAACTCTCTTGCCCAGGAGCAGTTTTCCCTTTGCCTCATCCCCCTGCTTCTTACGTTTTCTTGGCACGTGGCTGGTGAGCAAGCTGGCCTGACCAGCTGCCACCTGATTTCTGGCCCAGCGCAAGACTGGGAAGCTGGAGGGCATTTGATGAGGTCACTGTTGACGTGTGGCAGCTTCTTTGACTGCTGATTTGAAAGGGGGTGGAAAAGACTGGAAGGTTTGCTGAAGGGCTGCACCAGCAGATGGAAACAACCTCTCCCTTGGGTTTTCCATTTCCCTTCCTAGCAACCTAGGCAATCAAGCAATATACAATATGAGGTACGTAGCTGCTCTGGACCACTTACATACTAGTTGTAAGCCTGTAATTGGAGCGATCTGTCTTTATGGACTGTAGTTAAAACAGCAGCCTCCACGGAAATGAGGGAGACTGCAGCAGCCTTTCCAACCCAATGCAATGTTGGCCTAGGAGTCTGCCGGCCTGCAAGATAAACAGAATGGAACAGGACCAAATTTCCTGGGCAGAAGAAAGATCAAGTCAAAAAATGGACTGACTCTGGCTGGAGAAAAAAATCCAGAAAAATCCCCAGTGCATCCTTCTGGGAGAAGCAGTTTGGGGTGCCACAAACTACTCCATTCTAAGTAGCTCCTTCCTGACCAGGAATGGGCAATGTGCAGCCCAGAGCACACAGGGGTAGCAGAAACACACAGAGCAGCACCTGCTCTGATTAGGCTCCCTCATGCATGCGCACACACAGGGAATCCGAAGGGAGAGCAAACACAGACACACACACAGAGGCAGCACATATGCGCATACCCTGGGGAGAAAGCACACATACATTTCTGCACACACACACGCACCACATGATAATTAGTTACACAGAAAAATATGTCTCTTATGGCCACTGCTGCTAAAGCAGTTGAAAAGAATTCCAGAAGAATTGTGAATTTCAGCATTCTGCACATGCTTTCTCTATCTTGTCTTTCAAGCAGAATTGTTAGAATTGGTTTAAAATGAAAACTCTAGCATAGCAAAGGATGGAGTGTAATTCAGATAAAAGACAGTAGTGTAGGTAAAGTGCTAAATTATTTTGTTGTCGGGAGACAAAGGGTGATAGACTCTGTAGTGTTAGTATCTGGTGTGCTAGAGTGGCACCTGGACACCTCCATTTCATCTGTTCTTAACTTAAAAATGAAAAATTGCTTTGCCAAATTCCAGTCAGAATCATTAGAAGGGTTTTGTGTTAAGGAAAGGACTGTCATAAGGAATTACGATGCCTGTTCATAACTGGGAAGCATATAAGGGCTTGAAGCAGAAGTATAAGGGATCAGTGATGTTCTCTATTAAATAAATCAAATTCTGGGGCTGTGCAATGCTTTAGATTTGTCTTTGAAAAAGTGCTTTAGAGTAAGAAGGTGGCACCTGTTGGCAACTCGTTGAAGTAGCCATCTTTGTTTCTAGAATCATGGCAACTCGCTAACATAGCTGCCTGTGTTTTCTGATCCTGAAAAAGGTGCAGTTGTTTCAGCGAGAAGAGAGTGACAAATACTTTGTGTATATAGTTAGATTTCCTCTTACTGATCTATGTACATGGGTGGTCTGCCTTACTTTATACCTGAGGCAGAATTGAGACAAGACAATGTTCTCCTAAAAGTAGTTTTCTAGCCTCCATGTGCCAGGCCAGCACATGTTGGGTCTGTCTTTGTCCTCACATGACAGTACCCATGCCTTTTGATTGATGTAAGAGATTATTGGCTAATCTGAAGTTCTAACAGGCTGTAAAGGAGATCACTTCTCTAATCCCTTCAACAGTATCAGCAGTTTCTCAACATGCTGCTTTGTTGGGAACATGCTGTGGCAAAGTGCAAGTCATGGATAACCCCTGCATATCCTTTCTCCAGCAATACTTTAGCATTATGACTACGTCCCCATCCTTTAAAGCAGCGTTTCTCAACCTTGGCATCTTTAAGATGTGTGGACTTCAATTCCCATGGCTGGCTGGGGAATTCTGGGAGTTGAAGTCCTCACATCTTAAAGTTGTCAAGGTTGAGAAACGCTGCTTTAAACTTATGAATGGGGAATTCTGGGAGTTGAAGTCCTCACATCTTAAAGTTGTCAAGGTTGAGAAACGCTGCTTTAAACTTATGAATGGGGAATTCTGGGAGTTGAAGTCCTCACATCTTAAAGTTGTCAAGGTTGAGAAACGCTGCTTTAAACTTATGAATGGGGAATTCTGGGAGTTGAAGTCCTCACATCTTAAAGTTGTCAAGGTTGAGAAACGCTGCTTTAAACTTATGAATTTGGATGTCCTACCTTGATTTACTTGGAAACTGGCATAAATTAAGGTAGAATTCCTTCAGCTGTCACTCTGTCTCCTATGCAATGAGGGTACAGCTTTCATCTTTTAGTTATCTAATTCATTGGGGCATGACAATGTATTGCATTCTATAATACCCGTAGAATCATATAATACTCCTAGAATCATAAAGGTTGGAAGGTCACTTGGAGCTCAACCCCCTGCCCACTGCAGAAATATAGTACCACAGCATTAGTGACAGGTGGCCTCTGTTTAAACCTGCAGCAAAGAACAAGCTAAACATACCCAACTGCTCCGCATGAGTTTTTTCCTCCAGGCCCCTTGGTCACTTTATTCTGGACATGCTGTAGGTTAATGCCCTTTCTAAAATGTGCTGCTCGGAGCTGGACTCAGTAGACTAGGTATAATCTGACCAACACAGAATAGAGAGGAACCGTGACTCATCTTGATCTGGATAGTTTACTTCTGTTAATGCAGGCCAGGATTTTTTTGGGGGGGGGCAGTTGCATCACATGTTGATTCATGTTCAGTTTATGATCTGCCAAGATACCCATATCCTTTCACATGAATTGCTGTGTTTCATGGTCCTTTCGTCCTATACTCTGGCGTTTGATTTTTCTTTTACAAATGTAGGAATTTAGGACGGGAGTATAATACCTTCCCACTACAATAGTTGCAGTGATGCTTGTGTCCTCCAAACTTGCAGCAAGAGCCTATAAGCCTCTTTACTCAACCTTTCCCTTAAATCAAGTAAAATTTCATAATCGCAATCAGTGTGCAATATGACTGGGATTTCTGGTACAGATTTAAGAACTAAACTTTTTCTTGAAAGGAAAGTGCCCCTTGGGTCAAATTCAACTCCAGATGACTACATGTCCATTTTGTTTTCTTGTCAGTAACATGGAAGTGGTTATTTCCCATCCATTTAAATGTTAACCAGGGTCATCTCTGCTTAGGTTTTTTTTTTTTTTTTTTTTTTGTAGATCAGCCAATGTAATAGGAGGTTGGCTTATGCAGATGAGCAAAACATGTTTGGGAATGTATGAGTGAAAATTCTTTTGTTTATTAACTGGTTCTTTTATCCTGTTCAGTGAATGTCCTTTTCTGGAACTTTAAATGCTGCAAAAACTCACAGGCAAAGGAAACATTTATACTGAACAAACATGTTCCATGCCTTTAAAACATGATAAGGAAAACCTGCAGAGCATGGCTTCTGGAATTCTTTCCAAAGCTTTTACTGCAGTGGCCATAAGAGGCATCTGTATATTGTACTATAATATCTTGTACCTCTTTGTGTATACATGTGTACTAATCAGAATGCATGCATGCATTGCTGTTTGTCTGTGTGGGTCTAATCAAGGTGGATGCAGATCTGTGTCCTGTGGATGTGTGTGAGAAAGAGGTTCTAATCAGAGCAAGTGACTATGCATTGTTTCTTTGGGTTTCTACTCTCCCCTTGTATCATTTGTGTATATTTGCATGTGTGCACTGGGAAGCACAGGATAGGTTACATATGCTTTGCTCTTGGTCATGTGACCAAGAGGGGTTCTTAGAGTGGAAGAGTTGGCAACATTCTGAGCCACTGACTCTCCCATGCTAAGTACTGGGGAAATCTTTTTGGGATTTATTTTCTGTACAATCCCCAGGTATATCTGACCCATTTCAAACTCAGATTTTCTTTTGTCCTGTGGATGGACAAAGTCCTGAGCCCCTTTACATAATTTCTTTCTAATATGTTTTATTTAGAAGTGTGTGTGTGTGTATTTCCCTTGACTTTGTATGATGTTTTGATCTTTTAAATGGTTGTGGGCCTTTTTTTAGTTTCTTTTTTTGGAATGTAGTTCCTTGTTTTGAAACTATTATTCTTTTTCATGCATTTTGTAAGCCACCCAGAACTGTGACAGATTAGGGCAGCCCATAAATTCCATAAATAAATAGAGCCAAGCATCCTTTACAAGACCTAGACAAAGCCTACAATCCTACATTCATTTAATGAAGAATATATCCACATGGACTTAGAGACTTAATTCTGAGTATTGCTTTATTCTGTTTGTTTGAATGTGAATGTCACCCAGTTTGCACTACACAAAACAGAAACAGTTATTCACAAGAATATAATTTTTTTCATATTAAGCAATACACATTTCAGTGTAAAAACTGTACAAAAATCCAGAATGCAAGAGAAGCTTGCTTGCAAGTAGCAGGTACCTTAGAAGTACTGTAAATAAAGAAGTTAATATTTATAGAAACATGTAAAAATGTCTATGAATTCATATGGCCTTTAAAATTGCAAACTAGTGTGGGAATGGAATGAACTGAAGACTGAAAAAATGAACTGAAGACACAAAATAGAACTCAGCTTGACCATTTCATTCATCTCTGTTTATGATTAAACATATTTACACTTTGCATGGATGAAATGAAATTTAAAAAAAGCAAAATTATATGCTTCCCAGCCTCCTTATTTTTTTCCACAATTGCATTTTAAAACTCTTTTTATTTTGAATCAACCCATTAATTCATTTATCCTGTTTCCTGACTGGTATAATGTATGTTATATCTACTCCTACTTCCCAAAGAGTGAAATCCATAACTGGCTCTCAGCACTGTGGATGGAAGATTTGAACTTACCATTTCAGAGGTATATTGTTATTAAAAACTGCCTGCCTTGTTGACCTCTTCTAGATCAGAGAGATTTATTTCAGGAAAAAGTTGGTTGTTCAAGATTTGAATCATGCTCATGCCCCTTAATTAACAAACTATTTGTTATGGTTCTGACGGAAGCAATAGTAGGATAAGAATTTTCAGCATTTTTCTGGTGAATACTATCCAAATTATCAAAATTTCAGAGCTACAATGCTTGGTAGCTTGAGGGGAGGGGAGTGTCTCTTTGTGGTAGTGGTAGAATGTATCCTGCTATAATTAACTTTTTTTTTTCTCCTTCTCCCCTAGGTGGGCCCAGCAGGATCCCAGTTCGGCTTGTTAGCCTGCCTTTTTGTGGAGCTCTTCCAGAGCTGGCAGGTCCTAGAGAATCCCTGGAAGGCTTTTTTTAATCTTTCTGGAATTGTCCTTTTTCTCTTTGCCTGTGGCCTCCTGCCATGGATCGACAATATTGCACACATATTTGGTTTCCTCAGTGGTCTATTACTTTCTTTTGCCTTCCTGCCCTATATCACTTTTGGTACCGCAGACAAATATCGCAAGCGGGTGATGATCATTGTCTCACTACTGATCTTCGTTGGTTTGTTTGCATCTCTTGTGATCTGGCTGTACGTGTATCCCATTAATTGGCACTGGACTGAGTATTTAACCTGCTTGCCTTTCACGACCAAGTTTTGTGAGAAGTATGATTTGGACCAGACCTTGCATTGATGAAGCATTTAAGTGGGTTTAGTAGAAAGGATTTTGAGGAACAAGGGAAGGACACAGGTAGCTGTGGCTGTATAGAGCAGAGCATCTTCATTTCCAGTTTCTATGTGGAATTCCCAGGTACCCTTCATGAAACAGCATGCACCAAGTGCTAAAGCAGAGCAAGTGGGTAGCCCCTGCCAACTTTTGTAAGGTGTTTACTCTTCTGGATATACAGAGTAAAATATAACCAGGTATAACTCTGTGGCAATCCTAAACCTCAATTAATCATTACTAGGAGAGTTATGAGTATCTTCAACCCAAATAAACCAGAGGTTGTGTTATCAGAACAATTCCCACTCAGGTGCCTTGCATCAGAAGTCAGTCTCTGTAAAGCTTTGACCCTGAAATCCTTCTCAGACATGAGCTCAGCCTTCGAGGTCAAGTTTCTTTTTGATGAACTGGCAAAGAATCCAGACATCCTTCATCTGTGGGACTGATTGGTCATTTGTGAGATGGAGGTCAGGCAGACAATGACTTTCAAAGACTGTATGAGTGATTAGACATCCTGTTGAACTGCTTCCATTGACTATCTGCCTGTCTCTGTGTTCTCCTACTTGAAGTCCCTGCTTTTTATGCAAATTATGGTTTGGGGGTTCCTTTCCAATGCCTTTTGGCACAATATGGTGCTTGGACCTTGTGGCAGTCCTCCCTGCCTTAGTGCCTTTTTGTGGTACTAGGAAGTGTACTGTGAAAAGAAACCCCATCTTTTTGTACAAGGGGCATTTTTATATGCAAATTCTTGTTTTATGTTCACAATCTCTATATGTCACTAGAGTCAAATACTTTCTGGCCAAGAATATTGCTTTTAAAGGCAGCTTGTCCTCAGTAAGAAATGCGGGTAGTTTTTCCAATATTTACATTGGGTTGATAATGCAGCAACCTGGAATTTCTTTAAAAGTACACTTGAAGTATAATTCCCTTCTAAAAAGGAGGGAAGGCAAGCAGACTCTCTAGTGACAACATGAGAAGTGTAAAAAATATATATTTTTGGTCTAAATAAATGAGTTTAAATTCTATGAGGGGTATGTGTGTATTTCTAACTTTTTCCAAATTAGAAGTATTGAAGTTGGAGGCACATCATCCCAGGGAACATGATGTAGCTACATAGCAGTGTTAATTTAGGATTCTGACTCACCATTTTGCCTAGAGCAACAAAGCATTCTAAAATCTTCCTGTACTATTACTGGTAATTTATTAGAACCTTTGGCTGAGAAAGTTTTTTTCTATAACTTTGTCACTAATGTGTAAATATTAGACTGTTCCTTTGATGAAAGTGAACAATGTGTCCCAATTAACACCCTTTATCCACTTTTCATTAGAGATGGGTTTGATAATCATTTCTTCACGCCCAAAGAATATTAATGGTTAATTCCTGTATTCCACTTGGTCTCAAAACTGGTTAAAGCTTGTCATTTCCCTCTGAATTCATTAAACTGCATTGCACTATTGTTCCTTGCAAATCTTAGACTGACAATTATGTTCACAAAAGTGCCATTATGATACAATACATGCATTTTCACAAAGCTCTGTGGCTGTCATTCAGGTGTCTAGTGTATCTACTGTCTCACTAGTAATTTTTTCAAGCATTCCTGTTCCTTGCTCTTGGAACTTTGTTAATTATCGGTACCATGTACCTGTGGAGTGACTGAGTAATGGAAGTTAATTGTTACCATCACCTCCACAATCTCAACCTGCCTGTACTGTATAAAATAACTTCCCAATAAATGTCATGGTCTGATTTGATTACATCATGATATAAGGAGGGGGAAAAAAAGCAAGAACACATTAGGAAAAAAAGACATTTATTTGCTGACCTGGCAAGTGGTAAATGGCACACACAATAGCATTTGGGGAATGCTTCCTTGTTCAATGGCAAGAACCTTATTTTCCTATGCACAAGACTGACCAAGTAATGTATTCAAACATGCAACTACTTTATAATTAGTCATTAATTATAGACGATGTGTTATAAATTTGAACTGCTACACGTTTTCCTTGGAGCGAATCTCATTGAATTTAGCAGTGCTTGTTTGAGTAGATATGTTTATACTGCGTTAATAAGGAGCCTCTTCCTAGTCCCACACTATTAAAAGAAAAATAGGCATCTGCTCTGTTCATAAGGAAGGCAGAATGTATAGCTTCCTCCTTGGTTCAGCTTTTATTTCTACTGCAGTTGTAACCAGTAGATCAGCTTGCACCAGAAAATACCCATACCTACATCTGATTATAGTGAAAACTGAAAATTAAAAATTCGAACAATGGTACAAAGCAATCTGACTTGTTTTGAATTCAAAATATGGCTACTTCAAGTTTGGAACCCTCCCTTTTGAACTCAAAATGTTTTGCAAACCTCTGATTGACTAGTTTTTGCTACATTTCTAAAAGAATACTTTTCCAATACTTTTCCAGCTTTCTATCATTGTGGAGGCCGTCATGTACTATGACTTATATCATGCAAATTAAAAGTATTACGGCTGAATAGATGGCATAACACACTGGCCCTTGCTTTACTCCACTGCCTGATCTCTGGACCTCAGGTTCATTATCAACCTCATTTTTAGAGACAGAAAATTACTACTGGTTTTCTAAAGTCAACAGAATGGCGGGCAAGTAGATGACCTGGCTTTAAATGAAAAAGTTATACACACAAGCGTGTCCTTTTACTCACAACTAATGGTCTGAACAATGAGGTATATACACACACACATACTGTATAACTATTTTCTCTTCTATCCAGTGTCATAGGGATGTTCACAGGTAGAACTCAGTGCACATCAAAGCATATGCAATAAGGGACAATTAAATGATGAAGTATTGGCAGGAATTCTGCTAAGAAGGAAGTCTCATGGCTTTATCACTGAGGCAGCATATATTTATAAAATATATGAAATCACATACCTTTAATTACATAAAACCAATCAGCATAACAAAGCATAGAATTGCTCTCCAATGAACAAAAAACAGTAACTTACAGTAATATTTGTGTAAATACACTTAGTTGATTGAATACTATAAAAGTGAAGGTAACCAATGAGATCACACTGCAATTGAACCCCTCTTGTAAATAGAGCTGTTATTTATGAATGAAACATGAATTGCAAAATGCATAATTTATAATGAATCTCTCCAGTACTCATGACTATTAGTACTAAATCTTAGTAGCTAGAACTACAAGCAGCTACCATGTTTTGCTGCTTTCATAGTTTAAATTTTGAGAAAAATAGATGGATTAGGGCATTATTCCTTATTGCATTTACAGTCATTATATTCACACAGTGCTAACCTAAGACCTTTTTCCCATGGTTTGCTGAATGCAGTGCACAATGGCCTAGTTCTCACATCAAGCTAAGGCACAAAACACCAAACTCCATTACCCTTATGTGAGAACCAGACCAACAGTGCTTCACACAAGTAAGAGAAATGTCTGAGGCTTAGCGATAATTTTTAAAGGCAGCCTTGCTGGTAATCTTAACATTTTTGTTATAATGCAATGATTGCAGTAATGATAGCAGCCTACAGTGCATGATCAGTTGTAGATCTCTTAATCGTCATAGAGTAATTATGGTGAAAGTTCCAAAGGGTGGGATCTATCAGTTCCTCCTTTTCAGTCTGTGTAGGTTCACTTGCTTGATACTGCTGAATTAGAAGGCTCTTATATTCATGTACAACCAGGGCCTTACCTTTCAGGACTTCCTTGATTCACTAGACTTCAGCCCCATCTGAAGGGCTAAGAATCTCAGGAAATATTTTGTTTTCTAGCCAGATTGCTGGAAATGAATAGGAAGGGGAGATGTCATTTCAGCAGCCACTATTTCTGCGCATGAAGGCATGAGCCTGAATAGCATAGTTCATCTCAATGAAATTTAGTGAACCAACAGTGATCTCGCAGGGACCTAGCACTTTAAAGCCACACTTAGAATAAAAGGAAATGAGAAAATCCTCGCACATCAGTGTGGCTCGACGCACATAGGGCAGGGAGCATAGGTACTGTAGGTAGCGCCACATCAAGATGGACCCTTTGCCTTGCTGGCGGAAAGTGCAGTGTACTGCCAGAACATGTATGTGGACTGTAGTGCCATGGGGCTTGTGTAGGGTCAGCGCATCCTGTCATGGGAGAAGAGAGAAGAAACCGCTTTTTAGAAATTGGTTTTTGAATCTCCTCCTGTTGACCACTCTATGCAAGCATACGTTTGCCTAACAGCTAAGCTTACCATCACTCTAAGCTGTAGTGTGTTTTAATCATGATTTGTTAAATATGGAACAGTCTAGTTTGTGCTAAGCCATTAATCCATGATTAACAAACCATGAAGGCTAGTTTCATACAAAACGTTAAAAGCAAACAAACCCCATTATGACTTCATGTGACATATAAACCTAGCCAAAGAGTCAGTTTGTAGACAGCATAAGTCTCAAGAGTCACCTGTATGCATCTTAAGTAATGAGACTCAGAAGAAAAGAGATGGAATGCCAGTATTTAGAACACTATGCAATCCTTCCAGTATCTTTATAATATTAATAAACAAGATATTTGACATAATACATCCTATATCCATCTCAAAACAGTTTCCTTACCAGATTCTTGGACCATAAGTCTCTCAAGTAAGAATTGTACCTTTATTTATGCACACAATGTATTTTTCTTCTGCAGACATGAGCCATGACTTTAAGGAATCCAATAATGTCAGAATAGGAATTCTGCATTCTCATTCTATCTTGTTCAATTTCTATAAACTTACTGAGCAAATTAAAGCTTCATTGCAGATGACCTTGACATCTTGTGATTTCCTTGACAGCAATAGGCCAGTAGTTTGCCACTGTCTTCTTCCAACTTCTCATTCTAGTCTATAGCTCTGGGAGTCCCTGATTCCACCCAAGTACTAATCCTGCTTACCTTTTTGAACCCAGAAAAAGTTGGCCAGAAGCTGGCCCTGATGAAATATAACTCTATTGCATTTCAAAAAATCTAATTATTCTTCCATAGGCCATTCTGGATAATTTGAAATTATGTCCAAATTCTGCAAAACTCTTTTGACTGCTAATTTCTAAGTAAATGTGATCTAACCCAATGTGATTACTGTGTTGCAACTTTATGAAAACAAGCCACCTTATTAGCTTCATATGTGCATTAATATATATTTGGGAAGGGGAGGTATGCAAGGAATGAGCAGTTCTACAGTTTGCTTATAAGCGCAAAAGTGTGAAGTACTGTTCTTCAGATTAAATGAGGTGATTTTGCTTATTTAACAACAAAATAGTGCCTGGAACTTTACAAAAATGGAATTTTATATAAATAGAAGCATAATTTCTAAGTGTTTGGTGCATAGATGGCTGTGTACATATGTGTGTATGCATCTATCTACCTACCTACCATTCCTCCCCCATTAGTAGTGACAGGTACTGAAGATTTTTTTTTTTTTAACTGGGTTCAGTTCTCATTCATCCTAATATAAAATAACAAAGACATATTTGGCTTACCTGGCTGAGTCTTTCCTGGTCCCAGAGGGAGCCAATAATGAAAGCAACTAGTTGGCCTTCTTCAAACCAGCCAAGTGACAACTCAGGACACAGGTTAAGAAAATGGTGAATCTCATCCAGATGGAGGGGGCAGTCTCCCGACACTGAAGTAAAGGCTTGAGAGAACAAGAGAGAGAGGCATTAATCTTGTCCTGCTGATTACAGTAAGACTCAACTTCCAGGAAGCTAGGAAGATATTGGCTCTACCCAAGAACAAAATTAAACTAGGTGAGAGGATGAACCTGACAAATTCTTGAGTCTTGTAAACTGAGGTTTTCAGGATTCCAGTCTGGTTTCTTCTTATTACTGGTTTTCTATGAGGGAATTTAACTCATGCTTTTCATTGCAATGGGTTTTCTTTTATCAGCTATGTCAGGATTCAGTTACCAGGCAAAGCTAGCAGATAAGCATTCAAATCATAAAATAATACATTTGGGGGAACAAATTACAGTAGTTAATATTTAGCCTAATTACAATTACTGAAATTATTACATTTCAGATGCAAATGTGCACCACATTTATGCTGGAGCATAGTCTAAAACACACAGTAATATTCAAGTTTAGCTGAAAATCTCAGACTCTGGAAAAATCAGTTTCATCATACATCTCTCTCTGTGTGTATATAGGAAATACAAGCAGGTGGGGGGGTTGTTGGTAAAATATGGAACATACATGGATGAATGGCAGAGCTGTTGCCATCTGCAGAGATTAGAAATGGGAAAATGAATGCTCTCTTTGTAGTTAGCCAGCAGAATTCTTCCATCCTGTCCCCAACCCAACTGCAACTTCTAGTTGAAAGAGATACTGTTCTAATATTTTTTATAATTTGGTTATTGTTTAGGGATGAGAAAGGGGATGAAGAGGGTTTTTTTTAGTATTATTAGAGAAGGTGTTAAATTACTGTTAATACATATATTTGTTTGGAGGGAGGGGAAAGTCATCTTTCTTTCTCTTCTCTTTCTTTTCTTTTTGTTTGTAGGTTTTTTAGTTTTGTATTAGTATATATATATATATATATCTTCAATAAAAATATTTAAAAAGAGATTTTGTTCTCTTCAGTTGCTGCTTACTATTTAGACAATAAACAATTTGATTTTAATCTTTTTGCATAGAATGATATTTAATTATGTCAAATAAACCTTATACATAAGGCATGACACAATTTGTATTGGTGCACTGCCAATTTAACTGTCAATATCAGATCTTATGTCTGAAATTCTGATGAAAATCTGAACATACAGTACATGTTACCTGCGTTAAAGCTTTACAAACCTTGGCTTTTCTAATGCTTCAGATTAATCTTTAGAGTGGTATTGTTTTTCTAGTTCCCCATTAGTTCCCTATTTATTATTCTTTCTTTACCTGATTTTTGGGGGGAGGGGGTACCTTCAAATCTGTTTTGACTCCTGGCGACTGACTGGGCAAGTCCCTGCAGTTTTCTTGGTAAGATTTCAGAACTGGTTTGCCATTGCCTCCTTGCTATGGCTAAGAGTGAGTGACTGGCCCAAAGCCACCCAACTGGCTTCATGCCTAAGGCAGGACTAATCTCACAGTTTCTAGCCTGGTACCTTTAACCACTACACCAAACTAGTTCTATTTTTTAATTTAGGCATACTGTATATTATTTTGTCTTCCCTACTAACTAGACTTCTCAGCATTTGGGACCATGGGAGATATCTATAAAATGTTCATAACGTGTCATGCTTGAAATATTTGGAGAAAAGGTGCAAGAAAGATGAAATTCTGCTTTTTAATTATACTGACTGCAGTTTACGATATACAATATGATACTGCTGCTTTCTTTCTTTACTTCATACCATACACTCACTCATACATCAACATGTATCCATCCTATTCTGTACTCCATAAAAAAAAAAAAAAAAGTAAAAAAGGTATGGTTCTTCCATACCATGAAGATGTCTTTCTTAAGATTAAACACAGGAAATGAATTTTACCTTCTCTCTCAATTTCAAACACCCCAATGGCATCTTCAGGTGTGAGGCACCTGAATTCACTTGCAGGAAGAGTGTGTCGGCGCTGGCGCCCAAGGGAGTTCTGTGGAGGTCTGAGATAAAGGGTTTTGAAAAATGGCAAGGCATTGATCATAGACATCCTCCAAGTATTTCTGCCTCTTCTGTAAATGTTTTTCCTCCTCCTTTTGGGATAGCTACTTCATTCAGTTGCCTCACACACAATTAGCCAGCAGATGAAGATACCTGCAGAGAAGATAAATATTACTTGCAATTTCTTTATAGACATATGTCAAGAAACTGGCATGATTGCTACCTTTTTATCATTGCTATCATCTCCACTGTGAAACAAAATGTCCATCAAGTTCTTTATTCCTGTCCAGCTCACAAAATCAAAGCCTATCAAATATTCCAATGGTTGCCCTGCAACAGTAATGTTAAGAAACAATTTCATAGCTTTAACAGCCTGAAATTTGCTTATAGGGTTGAGTGAAAACAGAGACAAAGTTAATCCACTAATGTGAACTGTGAAGGACTGGTTATGCCAAGATCACCCAAAAGCTGACTCAGATAACTCTAAAGCAATTTAGGACCGAATTCTTACAGATATGGGTCCATCTGGGTAGCAATGTGCTTGGACCCCAAAGAGAATCAGATTCTTAATACTGTTAGCTAAGCTGAAAAGTATCAGAGACATTTTCATTTGTAAAAGGTAAGAAGAGACAAATGTGATCAAAGATAACTTCCAATAAACTCTTGATGATCTTCATTAAAGAGGATGCCCATTTTGAAAAGGTAAATTAATTAATTAAGCTGCAGAAATAATGCTTTAGCAAGAAACTATCTTTCTTAAAACCAACTACTCCTGCAGGAAAAACAGCCAGTTCAAAGTTCAGGTCTCCCTCACTATTACTATCCAAACTTCATCATTCTTTTGTGAATGCCCTCAATTTCTTTATACATGCACACAAAATACCTTCATTTTGGGTTGGTCTCATACTGATATTATAAACTGCTTGGTGCAAGCTCAGTTAATATGCTAGAAATCAACCACACAGCAAGACACATCCAAATAAAGTATATGAAGAAAGCTACAAAGAATTTCCCTAAGTCAAAATGAGCTATATATGAGAGCTTTATTATAATTTACAAATATACAGCTCATTTATCAGTTGCTATATTTCCAACCTTACCTCATCATTTTAGAGAAGTTTAGGGCTGTTTGAAGGACTAATAAACCATTGCATGTATAACAGAAATAAAAGGTCTTGTTCTGCAGAAGCTGTAACTGATGACCACTGAACCCCTCCACGTAAGAACAGGATATAAATATAATAAATGCTCTGAACATGTGTGAACTAGGTTACCACCACTTACTACCTTGGAAAAACACCACTTACTATTATAACATCATTATTAAATTGTATAAATGCCAGCCTTCTCTCATTAAGCTTTATTTATGATATTTCCATTTATTTCTTTACAATCCAACTGATTAGTGGAGGTCACTGGCAAAATAAACAAAGTGCATACACATTTTAAGCAAGGGAGTAGACATACTCCTAGTTCCAAAGGACACTACAAATAATTATCCAAAGTAAACCCAACCAACTAACTTTGAACTTGAGATGGTGAGGAAATTGATAATTGCACATATGGATCTTCCAAATGAACTGCCAACTCTAATGCTTTAGATTTTTCAAAAAACATAGAAAGATCTGAGGCAGATGGGGGAAAAAAACTTAGTATGGGATACTGGACATCCTATGTGGCTCTTCATAATTTATAAATCAGATATTTTCAAGCACACGTGTTGAGTTTCCTTCAGTCACAAGCAAGTCAGACCTTCACATATACATGGAAACCAGAGAAACATAATTATTCTAATGAGACTTAATTGTTATCAATGGCAGAATCATCATATATTGTTCTGGCATGCTGTATGCCTTCAGTTTCATAATGAAGCACAGAGTTTATGCAAATTATAGGTTCTTCTCCCAAGTCGACATTTTACCTCCTGGCATACTTATAGGAAAGGAGGTTTAAGACTGAACAGTTAACTAACTCTCTACAAGTTAATTCTGCCTCATCACCAGAATGATCCAAACATTTAAACTTTCTTCCTCATAATGCATGGAACTAGACACATTCTTAAACAGGGCTTTTAAAAATATATATTATTATCCTTATTTTAGCCCGTTGTCTTATTTTCTTTTAAGCATGACATTGCTACAAATAATTTGCAGCACCCCTTATTTCACTACAGCCCAAAGAAGTCCTATGTCTCTAACACTTTCATCTAGTAAGCCTATGCCTTTCCTAAACTTGAATCTTGGGACCTTACAATATAGACTTACATCTTGTTTCATCTTCTGAGCAATTAAATTAATAACTGGTCTTAGACATATTAGCATACATTTTCATACATATATCTATATTTTCCATGTAGGATGGTCTATGTGGGGTTTGAGCAGATGTCTGTTGAACTATTCAATCTACAAAAAAGTAACAGCCAAACCAGACTTTGAGTTTTGATTTATTCATATTGTCTATTTTGGGCAATCATTACAGACTCGATGTTTCTTGAGCAGTCAACTGAGTTGAATTATTCACAATCAGTCTATTTTGGGCCAAAGCTATTAGATTTTGGGCTGCAGTTTGAAAATGATACAGACCCAGCTCAAGTTCCTTCATGGAATTTTGTATAAATGTGGATATGCATACCAAAATCTGAATCTTGTGAATAACCATCAGAAGCAAAATCAGAGATAATGAAAAAAAGAGAAAGCCAAAAACACTGCATCAATGTTATTACTGATGCTTGTTTAGCTGGTACATGGTCTACTAAGTATAGGCTAGCTCTGGTTAATGGGAACCAAAGAACAAGACAAGCAAAATACTCATAAATGCAATACTATGTTAGAAAAAGTGGGTTGTATCATTTGATTACCAAAATTACAGATTACTGTAACTGCAAGGGTTTGTGCTGTTTAATCCATGTGAATATCCATATAAGACTGATCTGAATGGGATTTTATGCAATCACCTTCTAAACATTGTGAGAACAGGGGGGATATAATAAACATGCATATGCTCTAAGTATCATTTCTAACTATGCTGTTTCTCAATGGGGTTTCTGGTGTGAAAAGGAACTGAAGGACAAATCAGGTGAGGGAAATTAGTAAATCTGCTATAAAGTTAGCGGTTAAACTTGACAAGTGATCATTACATGGATTTCTTAGGTGGCATCATCCCAACTGCATTTCTAGGAGCTTGCCATTTTATTTCTATTACTCATGTGCATCATTGTGTGTCTTAGCATAGGATCTAAAAAGGTGGTCAATAGGAATTAACAGCAGAGATAGAGGTGGCATCAAGTCTGCTTATATCTATGGCTCAAGCCTGCTCAATTTGGGCATGTGTCAGATTTTCCCTACAATACATGCAGCTTTATTGTACACTCCATGAGTTGTCTAGTTTTTGATCTGTGAACTGATTTGGAGCAGGGAATATCATGGCACATGTATTCTCAGCAGCTACTCAGTTTTCCTCAAAGCTGCTATGCTTGTGGCTTGCAACAGAAAATAATAGAATAGGCAGACTATGTTTATATATTATAGATTCATTTTAGTTTCCACAAAACATTTTGCACAATCTTGAATTTAGGTAGCACGTTAAAGTTTGAGAAAAAGGCTTAAAACACAAAAGTTCAATGGGGATTTATTTTATCACTAATTACAGTATTTCTGAACTTCTAAAATTTCCAAAACTAAATAAAAGAATAAAGGGTTTACATTTAGCAATAATTTATAAACAATCTGAATGGATTGTCTTCTATGTTGATGTTTGTACAACTATGTCAGTGAAATTGTTACCCAGCTTACTGATCTATGGTAGGATCTATCAATCATATTCCCGGAGATTAATTACTATGCAGTCCCCCCTGCCCCACCCCCACAATAAAGGATGTGCTACTGGGTACAAAATTCTTTATGCAGCATTCATAAGAAGAAATAAATGGTAATAGAAGGACTGACTGCTACAGTACAGATTCCAGGATACCATATTCCCTAGCCAATGGGCCTAAATATTTTTTTATGTCCAAAGGTTTTGGTTTTTCTGGGAAATGCAAGGATATTTCTGACTGTAGGCCACAATTTGGGTTCCAGAAAATTGTTCATATTTTCTTTTCTACAAAGCTGAAAGCATTAAAAATTATTCAATATAATTCATTTATTAATCACTGTTTAAAGACACAGAATTTAATCAGACCAATTGGTGCATAAGATTCTTATTGTTAATTACACAATTCTGAAAAAAATTCTCTTGGACCAGAAACTAGATTGCCTATCACATTACTTGTCTGTGTTAGAAAAACTATAGCTTTAACTCTTACCTATTTTTGTTTTGTATTTATGTAATATATGTATTAATTAACCTGACAATAAATAATTTAAAAATAAGTTATTTAAATCATATTCCAATCCTGAATCTACTTTCTTAGAAGTGCCATTTTTCCCCCCAGAGCTTATTCTCTAAGAATTATGCTTAGGATTGTAAGCTTTAATTCTCTGCATAGTTAACTGTCAAGCTGCTCTCACATTAGCTTTAATTTTCTTGTATACTGAATGTGTAACTACAAAAAAGTATTGTGTAGTTACATACAAGCACTATATGTAAAGTGTGATTGCATTTAATGTTTAACAAATTGATGTTACAATTAAAATAAACAGAAAATTAGGATGGAAGATACTACTATTTTCTAGATTAGCAATATAAGCAAAGTGTGGAATGAGGAATGAATCTTACCTTCAAATTATTATAATTTTCTGCTCAGATGATCTGATTATTTAACATATTACAATTTAACATTTTGTAATGAACAAACACCCTCTGCTATAAGAGAAAGAGTTCAAATTAATTTCTTAATGAAGCTTTTTTTGACCTTGGAAAACAACTTCAAAATGCAGAGTCTTTCTTACCTGTGTGTTGAGTTTTCTTTTAGTAGTCTGACTGTTAATCTCTCCAGAATAACACTCTGCAGAATTACTGCTAGAGAGAAGGACAAAGCATACTGGAGTGAATGCTGATGGGGTCCCAGCTTTTATTTTCCAGAGACTTAGGGAACTCCAGCTTATACATTTGTTATTTATGTAGCACGTGATGATTCTCTTACGACATTTTTAAACCCTCTGGAGACAGAGAATTGTGAAAGGGCTTCAAGGATAAATGTCAACAAAAAGACC